CCCTCCCTCCCTCCCTGCCTTCCTATCTGCCACTTGCCTTTTGTTCCTCCGTCTTTTCTTTCTCCCTTCTTGATTCTTTGAGCCTTTGGCTCGCCATCAGTCCTCAGAGAACCACTGGGCTCCTCTGGGGATGCTCAGAGCTGGATGGTCCACTGGGCCCTACTCTCTCCTCCCTGACTCTTCTGCAGGGGAGGCTCCTGGGGGAGGGAGCAATGGGTGCGAGATGGGGGTCAGTGTGAGCTGCTGAGCCCCTGGACCATCTGCCCTAGCCTGACTGGGATGGAAAGGGCCCGACGAGGGTGGGGAAGAGGCAGGGGCAAGTCCCCTTCAGGAGGGCTGGCAGTTCGTGGAGTGGAGTCTGGGCTAGACAGGCTGCCCTGGCTCACACCCCCTGATACATAAATGTCCCAGTCTAGAATCTTTCTGGATACCAAGGAGGTAGAACAAGGAATGAACAAGGCAGAAGGAGAGCAGGAAAAATAGCAGAAAAAAAATTTCCTTTTCTGGTAGGGGTTCTCTGATGAACTTAAACTGCCCGCATCTCCTGTGTTTATGCTGTTCTGGAGAAGGAATCTAGAGTTTTGAGTCTAGGCTCTAGGCTTGGCTTGTTCACTTATCAGAGATGTGGCGTAAGGAGAGTTACAGGGCTGGAGCGAGGCCTCAGTTTCCTTATCTATGAAATGGGGTTATATTGCTTCCTTTCGCCGGGGGGCAGGGGTCGCATGGAGAGAATAAGGTGCAGTGCGGATATGCATGGAAAAGTGGTACAGACGGGCAAGGGGTCTTCGTCATCATGACGGAGGCCTGGCGGTTTAGGTGTCAGAGGCCTAGCTACCCCATGGCAGGAGCCTCCCAGAACTTGCCAGTGAGTCGGGCTGCCTGCTCTCCTGGTGTCGCCTCCCAGTACGAGGTTGGCTGAGGGAAGAGAGTGGTTCAGAACTTCCAGTGGAAGGGCCAGTGCTGGGGCTTGAGGAAATGGGTGACCCCTGCGTTCCTGGAGGAGCAGCAGGGGGACTGCCTTCCTGGGGAGGGGCAGGAGAAGGGCAGCTGTTTTCAGATTTGGCAAAACAGGCTCAGATGAAGCCTGTGGCGGAGTTCAGACAGTCCTGTAATGGAATCAAGGGCAGCCAGGACGGGGAGGGGGTCTGCAGTGGGCTCAGACCCTGCAGGGGCCCGGGGCACATGGGCGGCGGCCAATGCTTTGGGTCCCAGGGAGAGTCGGAGGCCAGTGCTCAGCGGCTTTTCCTGGAAGAACTGGGCATCCTCGGCTTCGGCAACCAGGACTGAAAAGCTGGGTGCTTGTAGGGAAGGAAAAGTCATTTAAAAGTCAGAAGAAACAAAGAAAAACCTTTTCCTTCGCTCTTTTCCTCCTCTCGTTCTGTTTCCTGAGCTCAGTAAGCAGGGTCTGGTTTCTGCCGACCTGACGACGACAGTGTTTCCTAGACGTATAAACCTCCTCCTTCCTTCTCAGACAGGCTCTCACTTCTTTATGCTCATCCTTTCGTTTTAAAACATTTTTATTAGCCTTTTTTCTTAAAACTTTTAACAGCTGTTTATAAAAACACGACAAATACACCACACAGAACAAAAAGCTCGGTAAAAATAACTCACTATATGGTACATATACTCAGATGGTGTGATATATTTATATAATAAGAGATGAAAATAGTCACTTTCCATAATAAAAATAAGTTCTATTTTTTGTTTATTTTACAATATACTTAATATTCTCTTCTTTTGCTTCCTTTCCAGCTTCTACTGCTTCACTGCGAACCTCACGCGGGGGGGGGGGGGCCCCTGGATCCCGGGACTCTGGCAGTGGCGGGCTGGACAGGCCCCCCCGGGGGGGGGGGGGGGTCCCATGTGGCCGTCCCCCACCACCCGGCTGTTGTCCGGGAGGCGGAAGGGCTGCGGGGGCCTTAGGAACACGGGCGGCAGCCGCACTCTAAGTGTCTCTCCACCTCTTCCACGAACGAGGAGCCGTCTGTGCACTGGAACACGTATTTCCGCCGCTTGCTGCGGGTGGGCTGGCAGCACTGGGGACCGCAGCCCCCATGACATTCCATTAAGGGCACCTTGGAGGCCGTGGCACACGAGGCATAACCTTTCTGGCGGCGGATCACCTCTCGGACTACCCCCCCCAGGCATGGAGTCTCTGCAGAGGGCGGAAGAGGTAAGGGCAGGGCATTGGGGCTGGAGATGGCTGTCCAGGGTAGGCTGCTCTGAGACACTCGTGGGCCGAAGCCCGTGTGTACTTACTCATTCACTCATCCATCCATCTCCCTGGCCACCCTCCCATAACCCATCTCACTCTTCCACAAATACTAAAGTACCTTACCGTGCCAGCCTCTATACTAGGTTTAAAACTAAGCCCTGAGGATAGCAGGGTGACAAGAGCAGGCTCGGTCCCTTCCTTCAAGGAACCTTACGATCAAACTAGATGTGGCAGATTGGGGGACTGAGGGCTAAATCCCATCCCAGACCTATGTTGCTTGTGCCACAGACGCTTAGAAACCACATTAAATGCGAACATTAAAAAAAAGCAAAAAACCACAGTGCCAGGAGATTGCATCTAAACATTGGGATATCTGGTTTCTTTGAAAACCAGAGGCTCTGGCAAAGCTGAGTCTGCATCCCTGCATGGCAACGATGGGCTGAAGCCGTGGGCTTTAGACGGGGCAGGAGATCTCCAGTTTGCCCCAGTCCCCACCAACCACTCTCAGTAGCCTGTCTCCGCTGGTGTAGAGTCTAGACACTAATTACAGTGTCATTTAAATGAATACATTTGTAATGATAAACTGAGGTGCATGCTATGAAGAAACGGGATGTGTTTATCCAAAATACATGGCAAAGGAGCCCGACTAGCCCAGGGGCCAGGGATTTTCTCTGGGAAGTGATGCTGGAGTTGAGATCTGAAAGAGGAACAGTAGTCAGTGAGCCAAAGAGTCTGGGGGCGGGGTGTGTGTGTGTGTGCGCGCACACGCGCGTGAACTTTTCCACAAGTTGTAGAAATGAGGGGAGGGGAGGGGAGGGTTCCCCTGGATCTGCTTAAATCCTCCGGTCCCTGACCCAACTCTTCACCTTGACCCCACTACTGTCCTCAGTACATTGGGAAAGCATCTGAAGCAAGGCACTGAGAGAGAGAGAGAGTAATGGATTCAGGACTAGGATCCTCGGCCACACAGCCTTGGATCCCTGAGCCTCAGTTTCCTTGTCTGGAAAATGGTGACACATGTCCTGGTTCTTCCTGCTTTTTCATGGGCTGTTATGAGCAGCACAGGGATTGTGAATGCAAAAGGGCTTTATGCAGTTTAAAGCTTTAGGTGGTTAATGTGATGTAATGTGAATTTTGTTAAGGTTGAAATAGGTTTTTAAAATTAAAATTATGTGATTGTTAACAGGATCAAAAGAAGACTAATGATAATAGGTGTGTGTGATGTGCGGGGCAGGGAGAATGCACACTTGGCAGCATGTTAACAGTTGGGCTGTCCAGTTGAAGGGAATGGGAACGCTGTTTATATTGTTCTGGCAATTTTTCTGTTAGATCTGAAATTATTTCAGAGTACATTATTTAACAAAATTGGTTAAGAATGGTATTTCAACAAGGTATAAAATGTGAAAGAGTCCTCTAGTGACAGGAGGTGGCCTGCCCAGGATTCTGGTGGCAGGAAGGAAGACGAAGACTTCTCAGTTTCCATGCAGGAGAAAAACCTCCAAGGTGAGACAGAACCATTTCAGCTGGAATATAATTTAATTTCAATTTTCCTTTTTTGCACTTACCTCCAAATTAATACACTAAAGGGGTCACGATTTGATGTTTTTGAAATGAGATCAGACCAAGGAACTGTCTTTTGTTGACCCAATAATGGCATGAGGTTTGGGAGGAGACTGCAGAGCAACGTCTGAAATGTTAGTGTGATTAAGAACCATCAGGGCTCTTGTTAAAGCAGGTTCTGATTCCGAAGGTCTGGGCTGGGCCTGAGCGTCTATATTTCTAATAAGCTCCCAGATGAGTCAGTGGTGCTGGTCAGAGGGCCACTCTGGCAGCTCCAGGGCCAGCAATTAGGAAAGGAGGGGAGGGGAGAGGAGAGAAAGAACAACCCAGACTGCTCACACAGTCCTGGCGGTTTGCAACCTCCAGAGACCCCAGCTGGAACTATCCAGGTAAGCCGTTTCTGAGTGCTTGACCCACGGGAACCGTGTGGGATGGAGCATGTTTAGTGTGGTTTTGAACTGCTATGTGTTGGGGCTAATTTGTTATACAGCAATGGATAACTGATACAGGAAGTTTTGGTGTTGCCCCCCATATTCAACATGACGGAATTTGAGGCTCAGAAAGTAACTTAATGAAGGTCATGCAGCCTCTAAGTGGCTCAGCCAGAACTGGAACTTAGGCCATCTGAATGTGGAGTCCAAGTCTGACCCCCGCATCCTTCCCGGGCACCGTCCCCCCACCCTACCCATGCGCACAGTGGACCCACCTTGTTCGCAGTGTTCCCCACTAAAGCCGGGCTGGCACAGGCAGTAGGGCTCCCCTTGATCTGAGACGTGGCATTGCCCGTGGTGACACTTGAAGGCTGAGCAGGCATTGGCAGAGTCATTCTTGTGGTCACACAAGGCCCCTCTGTAGCCCTCGGTGCACTTGCACACGTATGAGGTCCCAGTTGCCACGCATCTCCCCTGGCTGCAGCTGGGGGCAGAGGCGAGGATGAGAGGGGAACCAGGCAGTCAGTGCAGCTGGAGGCTTCCTTTGTCCACCCCAGCCCGCACCAGGGGACACGGAGCTGTGGGACCTTAGGCCTTCTCCATCCCATGGTCCACCCTCCACCAGCCCAGTGGCTGAGCATCAGTCAGCTGGAGGCTGTGAGCATCCCCCAATGACACTGACAGCTGTGAGCTTGATGAGGCTGGCTGTTTTACCCACAGACGTCAGAACCCACGCAGTCTCCAAACAGTTTAATTGTTCTGCCATCTTAATTGATAACATGATTACTACTATCTATCTCTACCACCACCACCAGCTACCACTTGCTCTGTGCCAGGCATTGGTGTAAGTGCTTTACACGTAGCATCAGTCTTATTTTCTACAATCCCCTCTCCTCTGCTGTCCTGTGCAGTAGATAGTCTCATCCACATCTCACAGATGGAGAAACTGATGGCCAAAGCCTGGATTCTTAATTGTGCTGCAGCATTCTCTGTACTGGGATGACATTCAGAGGCAGGGTTCATTGTAGACATATTCGTTACAGAGTCAAACGCGCGCGCGCGCACACACACACACACACACACACACACACACACACACACACACACACACACCCAAGAGCTACCCAGGAAACTCAACCCCTTTGTAGCATCCTTCACTCCCGATCCACGATATCATGTCCCAGCTTGTTCAGCCAAGCAAATTACTAGACTAGACATGGCTCTGCTGTTACCTTTGGCCGATTCAGATTTCTGAACACTGAGGATGCTGGGTCTCCTATTTTTAGCACAAGGCCTGACACATAATAGGCCCTCAGTAAATATTTTGATGCATAATGAATGCCAGAGCCACGAAATGATTCGGCTGTGCGTGGTTATACTCCCCTGGTGCCCTCATAGGGTACCACTGAGTGGGGAGTTGAGTCGGGCCGAAATGCACCCACTTGCCAAGGTGCGTGCACACGGGTGCCCCTTTTGACTTCTGAAGGCCACTTGACAAGTGTTTTTCAGCTAGGCTCTGGCACACTGATGTCTCCTCTGAACAAGACCTGCTGTTTGGATGTGTTAAGCCCCTGACCTTCTAAGCAGCCCCTGTCTACAGTCTGACTGCAGCCCCTCCAGCTTCCATCAGTGCCCGCTTCCCGGGTGGGGCGGAGGGGGAGGGACACCGACCTGTGGCCGCGGCAGGGGTCGCGGGCCTCCTGGTCGCACAGCGGGCCGGTCCAGCCTGGGTGGCACTCGCACACCACGCTTTCCTTCTCCACGGCACGGCACAGGCCGTGCCTGCACACGCTGCAGGACTTGCAGCCCGGCGAGACGCCCAGGGCCTGCGGCGGGAGGGCCTTGAAGTCCTGCAGCTCGTTGTTGATGCGCACCTCGTGGATGCAGCCGTGGAAGCCACCCAGCGGCCGGTCCACGCCCTGGCGCAAGGCCGAGAGGCCCGTGGAGGTGGGGATGCCTGCGGGAGGGACGCCAGGACAGCGACCTGAAGATACTCCCCTGCCCACCCTGCTCACCCGAATTCCAGCCCTCAGAGGTGGACTCCTTGGGAGAAGTCTTGGGAACCTCCATGTTGAATAAGCTGCTCTGATGCCTTTTTTTTTTTTTTTTTTTTTTTTTTTGGGGGCCTACTGACTGACCTGTCATAAATGTTGATGCAACATCCTAAATTTTTTTTTTTTTTTTTTTTTTTTGGGGCACATAACCCTTTGAGAACTACTGGCCCAAGGCTGGGTTTCAGGCCCATGCTCTGCCAGACTGGTGGCGCCTTCTCTCTTTGGCCTTTGAATGACCTTAATGGCAAACATACTCCTCTACATACATCAGCTGAGACTCACAGCATCTGAGCGGGTGGCAGAGCAGAGGGAAGCCCCTGTATCGGAAGGGGCTGGCCCCTGTCTCCATCGCCTCCCTCCCCATTCCATCTTCACCTTCCACCATCCTCCCTAAAAATCGTGTAGTTTCTCAGAAGGAACCCTGCTCTCTTTCCTCTTCTCCCCATGATCTGGCTAACTATTCATATTTTAGGGAGCAGCTTGGTTGTCACCTCCTCCAGGAAGCCTTCGTTGATTAGCCTTGGCAGTGGGTGCTGAGAGCAGCGAGCCTCACCAGTTGGCCTGGGGGTGGGTGCCCGAGCACAGGGGGCAGGTGGGGGTGTTTGTTTGGGGTGGGAGGGGATGGGGCTTTACCTCCAAGGTAGAGGGGGCTGCTGATGCTCACTGTTGGCTGCTTCTGGAGCTTCCCCAGGCTTTTGGGGGCTCCTTTGTCCACCACCAGGTTCAGGGTCTGGTTTAGCGTCACCAGCTCCACACTGTGAAACTGTCCGTCATTCACGGTCTCCACACTGGGCAGGAGAGAAGTGGGAGAGACAGGATTTGCTGAGTGCCTTCCACAGCCTGCACTGGGCTGTGAACTTGACTAGTATTGCTTGCATTTTGTTTTGTTTTTTATTTGGAAATAATTTCAAACAACATTAATCACAAAAATAAAAACAGTACAGAGAACTCCTATTACCTGTTAAACCTATAGATTCTCCAGTGAGTCCCATTTGCTTTATAATTCATTTCATCTATCTTATTTATCTCCATAGATATACAGGCATACCTTGGAGATACTGTGGGTTCAGTTCCAGACCACCTGATGAAGCAAGTCACATGAATTTTCTGGTTTCCCAGTGCACATAAAAGTTATGTTTATACTACAGTGTACTCTATTAAGGGTGCAATAGCATTTTGTCTAAAAAACAATGTACACACCTTAAATTAAAAATACATTATTGCTAAAAAATGCTGACTGTCACCTGAGCCTTCAGGGACGCATAATCTTTCTGCAATAATAACATCAAAGATCACAGATCACCATAATAAATACTGTAAAAGGTTGAAATATTATGAGAATTATCAAAACATGACACACAGACATGAAGTGAGCAAATGCTGTTGGAAAAATGGCACCAACAGACGACACAGAGTTGCCACAAACCTTCAGTTTGTAAATAATACAGTATCTGTGAAGCACAGTATAGCAAAGTGCAGGAAAATGAAGTATGCCTCTAAGGGTATGGAATCAGCTGTCAAAAACCTCCCAACAAACAGAAGTCTAGGGCTGGATGGGTTCACTGGTGAATTCTACGAAACATTTAAAGAAGGCTTAATAACAGTCCTTCTCAAACTCTTACAAAAAATAGGAACACTTCCAAACTCATTTTACAAGGTCAGCATCATCTTGATACTAAAACCAGACAAGAATGCCACAAGAAAAGAAAATTACAGACCAATATCCCTGATGAACATAGATGCAAAAATTCTTAATAAAATATTAGCAAACCTAATTCAGTAATACATTAAGAAGGTCATATACCATGATTAAGTGGGGTGTATTCCAGGGATGCAAGAGTGGCTCAAAATCACAAATTCAATCAGTGTGTACACCAAATTAACAAAATGAAGGCTCAAAATCATGTGATCATCTCAATAAATGCAGAAGAAGCATCTGACAAAATTCAACATCCATTTATGATGAAAACTCTTAACAATATAGGTATAGAACAAACTCAACCAAATAAAGGCCATATATAACAAGCACACAGCTAACATTATATTCAGTGGTGAAAACTGAAAGCTTTTCCTTTAAAATCAGAAACAAGACAAGGATGCCCACTCTTGCCATTTATATTCAACAAAGTATTGGAAGTCCCAGCCTGAGCAGTTAGGAAAGAAAAAAAAAGGCATACACATTGGAAAGTAAGAAGTAGAACTGTCACTATTTGCAGGTGACATGATGTTATATATAGAAAAACCTAAAGTTTCCACCAAAAAACTGTTGGAACTAACAAATTCAGTAAAGTTGCTAGATACAAAATTAATATATAAAAGTCAGTTGCAGTACCCCTCTTACACCAATGGACAGATGATCCAGCCAGAAAATCAATAAGGAAACACAGGCAGAAGAACTAATAAGTGAGCTGGAAGACAGAATGGGGGAAATAAACTAACTGCCAAGGAGCAGAATAAAGAAAAAAGAATGAAAAGAATTGAAGACAGTCTCAGAGACTTCTAGGACAACACTAAATGCACCAACATTCAAATATAGGGGTCCCAGAAGAAAAAGAGAAAAAGAAAGGGTCTGAGAAAATATTTGAAGAGATTATAGTTGAAAACTTCCCTAACATGGGAAAGGAAATAGTCACCAAAGTCCAAGAAGCACAGAGAGTCCCATACAGGATAAACCCTAGGAAAAACACACCAAGACACACATTAATCAAACTAACAAAAATTAAATTCAAAGAAAAAATATTAAAAGCAGCAAGGGAAAAACAAAAAAATAACATACAAAGGAATCCCCATAAGCTTATCAGCTGATTACTCAGCAGAAACTCTGCAGGCCAGAAGGCAGTGGCAGGATATACTTAAAGTGATGAAAAAGAAAAACCTACAACCAAGATTACGCTACCCAGCCAGGATCGCATTCAGATTTGACGGAAAAAACAAAAGCTTTCCAGAGAAGCAAAAGCTAAAAGAATTCACCACCAAACCAGCTTTACAACAAATGCTAAAGAAACTCCTCTAGGCAGGAAACACAAAAGAAAAAGACCCACAAAAACAAACCCCAAACAATTAAGAAAATGGTAATAGGAACATACATATCAATAATAACCTTGAATGTGAATGGATTAAATGCCCTAACCTAAAGACACAGACTGGCTGAATGGATACAAAAACAAGACCCATGTATATGCTGTCTACAAGACACCCACTTCAGATCCCGGGACACATACAGATTGAAAGTGAAGGGATGGAAAAAGATATTCCATGCAAATGGAAATCAAAAGAAACCTGGAGTAGCAATACTTGTACCAGATAAAATAGACTTTAAAATAAAGACTCAGGGCTTCCCTGGTGGGGCAGTGGTTGAGAATCTGCCTGCTAATGCAGGGGACACGGGTTCGAGCCCTGGCCTGGGAGGATCCCACATGCCGTGGAGCAACTAAGCCCGTGAGCCACAACTACTGAGCCTGCGCGTCTGGAGCCTGTACTCCATAACGAAAGCCCGCGATAGAGGCCCGCGCACCGTGATGAAGAGTGGCCCCCGCTTGCCACAACTAGAGAAAGCCCTTGCACAGAAATGAAGACCCAACACAGCAAAAATAAATAAATTAATAAACTCCTACCCCCAACATCTTTAAAAAAAAGAGTGGGGAGTTAAGCTCCCAATCACTGAGGGTGGAGTGTCATCATCATTAAAAAAAAAAAAAAAAAAAAAGACTCTTACAAGAGATAATGAGGGATGCTGCACAATGATCAAAGGATCGATCCAAGAAGAAATAACAATTATAAGTGTTCATGCACCCAACATAGGAGCACCTCAATATATAAGGCAAATGCTAAGAGCTATAAAAGGGGAAATCAACAGAAACACAATTATAGTGGGGGACATTAACACCTCACACCAATGGACAGATCATCCAGACAGAAAATTAATAAGGAAACACAAGCTTTAAGTGACACAACAGACCAGATAGATTTAACTGATATTTATAGAACATTCCACCCAATAGTGGCAGACTACACTTTCTTCTCAAGTGCACACGGAACATTCTCCAGGATAGATCACATCTTGGGTCACAAATCAAGCCTCGAAAAATTTAAGAAAATTGAAATTGTTTCAAGCATCTTTTCTGACCACAATGCTACGAGATTGGAAATCAATTACAGGAAGAAAACTGTGGAAAACACAAATACATGGAGGCTAAACAGGGTACTACTAAATAACGAAGAGATGACTGAAGAAATCAAATAAGGAATAAAAAAATACATAGAAACGAATGACAATGAAAACGTGACGACCCAAAACCTATGGCACTCAGCAAAAGCAGTCCTAAGAGGGAAGTTTATAGCAATTCAATCTCACCTCAAGAAACAAGAAACATCTCAAACAATCAAACCCTACACTTAAAACAACTAGAGAAAGAACAAAGAAAACCCAGAGTCAGTAGAAGGAAAGAAATCATAAGGATCACAGCAGAAATAAATGAAATAGAAACAAAGAAAACAATAGCAAAGATCAATAAAACTAAAAGCTGGCTGTATGAGAAGATAAAGAAAATTGATAAACCCTTAGCCAGACTCATCAAGAAAAAAAGGGAGAGGATGCAAATCAATAAAATTAGATATGAAAAAGGAGAAATCACAAGTGACACTGCCGAAATACAAAGGATTTTAAGAGACTACTACAAACAAACTATATGCCAATATAATGGACAACCACAAAGAAATGGACAAATTCTTGGAAAGGTACAATTTTCCAAGACTGAACCAGGAAGAATTAGAAAATATAAACAGACCTATCACAAGTAATGAAATTGAAACCATAATTAAAAATCTTCCAACAAACAAACGTCTTGGGCCAGATGGCTTCACAGGCGAATTCTATCAAACATTTAGAGAAGAGCTAACACCGATCCTTCTCAGACTCTTCCAAAAAACTGCAGAGGGTGAAACACTCCCAAATTCATTCTGTGAAGCCACCATCACTGTGATACCAAAGCCAGAAGAAGATACCACCAAAAAAGAAATTATAGACCAATATCACTGATGAACAGAGATGCAAAAATCCTTAACACAATATTAGCAAACAGAATGCAACAACACATTAAAAGGATCATACACCATGATCAAGTGGGGTTTATTCCAGGAATGCAAGGATTCTTCAATATACGCAAATCAGTCAATGTGATAAACCATATTAACAAATTGAAGAAGAAAAACCACATGATCATCTCAATAGATGCAGAAAAAGCTTTTGACTTGATTCAACACCCATTTATGATAAAAAAAAAAACCCTCCAGAAAGTGGGCATAGAGGGAACCTACTCAACATAATAAAGGTCATATATGACAAACCCACAGCAAGCATCATACTCAATGGTGAAAAACTGAAAGCATTTTCCTCTAAGATCGGGAACAAGAGAAGGATGTCCACTCTCACCACTCTTATTCAACATAGTTTTGGAAGACCTAGCCATGGCAATCAGAGAAGAAAAAGAAATAAAAGGAATACAACTGGAAAAGAAGAAGTAAAACTCTCACTGTTTGCAGATGACATGATACTATACATAGAGAATCCTAAAGATGCCACCAGAAAACTACTAGAACTAATCAATGAATTTGGTAAGGTTGCAGGATACAAAATTAATGCACAGAAGTCTCTGGCATTCCTATACACCAACAACAAAAATCAGAGAAATTAAGGAAACACTCCGATTTACCATTCCAACAAAAAGAATAAAATACCTAAGAGTAAACCTGCCTAAGGAGGTGAAAGACTTGTACTCAGAAAATTATA